CTGAACTCAGGCTCGTCTGTTCGAGATAACCCGTGTAGAAATCTCTTGAGTCAGGTCCTACACGTGAACTCATGGAGACTCCATCAATGTGTTGATAAAGTTGGTTACTGAATTGGAAATGGACACTTCTTGTACAAAGGAATAGTAGTTTTTTCATTTCGATTTCGAACAACAGGAGCAGATCAGTCTGCTGACAGCTTATATCAACTGTTTCACTCACTGATGTATGTAGAAATAAGGAAGACACATCGTATGAGTTTATCTGAAATGATGACATGATCTATTTTGGAAGAAAATTCAAATGTATCTTTTAAACTGTAGATCACCAATTAACTCTAGATGGGCTCTAAAGATTTTGTTAACCATTTTACCAGCTTGTTACATGACGCAAAATACGATCTTAGGTGACCGATAACAACAGCCTCAAAAAACCAAGAACATCAGCTATCTTATCTGTTACTTGTTTTAACTCAATATTCAGTGTTTACTGGGTATTCTGTGTCTAACATAGGTCTAGAAACTGTACTCCTGAGACCACTGAGTCCTGTTTTTCGACAGCTCTGCCAAAAAATGGAGTACGGCTTTTTTCTCCTAACCCATTGTAAGTGAATCGATAGATACATGTGACTTAGTCGATTCAGCATGAATTAAAATGCTATGGATAGGGAAAACGAAAGAAAATCACCTTATAGTATTCCTTATTAGTTCTTGTTCGTATAGCTGAGAATTATAAGAATTTTCTCTATGTTCCATAAGTTTCGTTAGAAGAAACATTTCAGTATTTACCTTCATATGACAGAGGTGATACGACAAAAATGGAAAAGCGGTATATACTTTTCGGTGCTTATCATATTTGAAACTACCTGACAGAGTCAACCAAGCCGAACTTGAGGACACTTACTGAGCGAAGATATTGGATATAGGTCACGCTATATCGTGGACTGACAGAAGTAGGAAATATGGGTCATTGGATTCCGACCCAGTGGATCAATGGTAACGGGTTGGCCACAAAACCTGAAGGTCCTGGGTTCGATCACTGATGGGGTAGGGTCATGGGTGCGCTCTGCTGAGGAGTCCCACACTAGGGCATAACAGTGCTGTCCAGTGCTCCCAGGTTTCCAGTATTCCTTCAGTTGATGTCAGTCCATGATAAATTCCGACCAAAATCAATTAATAAACCTCCACAAACCTCCAGATAGAGTTAAAAAACTTTGATTTCAAGCTATGGGTTTACCTAGGTTTCCATTTCTATGTGGTGTCAACGTCGTATGATCTTCTTACAAGCCTTAGCTTGTAATGGAAACTTACTTTTCAACCCTACTTCATGACATTAAAGCTTTGAAATTTTTGGTGAACGGTCGTCTAAATTCAACACTTGTTGTTTCTTAGTGTCCTGCATTATATCTCTAGCTTCACACAAATCTTGAAACAAGATATAAAATTTAGATTAGTAGAGAGCGACGTCTTACGTTTTTTGTTCAATCTACTGCCTTGCAAACATTGTATCCTTTATTGTGTTCAGTGAAGAAGTTATTTTACATTTGCCTTTGCACAATGACTATCAAAAGTGCTTACATGTGAACTAATGCCTGTTTTGTGGGATAATTTTAAGCTTCAAACTTCTTGTCTAAATCATTGACCTTGATACCTAGATCTACGTACAAAGCTTTGGTCCTCAAAACTAGACGAGTATTTTATACTTTCAGTTGCGGCTCAGCTTGCCTATAAGACCTTGAAAAACCAAGCAAGTTCTGTATTGTTTGAATTGCAAGAGAAATCACAAAATTTTGTTGAACCTCTCTCTGCACACCGAAAATAACGAACAACATGCTTGTTTCTGATTAGTCTTTTCAAGGTCAACTAGAGGTTGCTCCAAAACGATTAAATTATTTGGTCATACGTGCATTTCAGTCATATGCATAGTTGAACACGTGCACCATCTGAGCTATAGCTAAATCAAAAAATTGTGTGATCAAAAAGTTATTAATCTGGGTAGGAGTTGACAAACATTGGTAACGGGTGAAGGTGACTGCCATCCCTCTCAATCATCAGGCGATTTCTGTTAATAATAGATCTTAGATAGAAGTAGTGATATCATACATAGTTTTCTTAATCGCCAGTCCGAAAATCATTTCTTACAAAATTGTAGAACTTTTTCACAAGATTTCGGGAGTTACCTTTAACGTTGCTGATGCCTTTGAATACCTGACATCAATTCGTACTTTTAAAAGTTTGATAATAGGTCACAGTCAAAAATGAAATGCACTCGTTAACCAAGTTCATGTTTCTTCAGTAGGTAGTGAGCCACACTTATTGTGTGAGGGCTAGTGATTCCATGTTGGAAGCCAACCCAAAATTCTGTAGTCAGAGTGGCTTTCGAACGCACAGCCCACTGGTTGAAAGTCAACTGACTGAGACAGTGAGACATACCCCCACTTTATGATATGTACTCCGAGTCCGAAGTCTATGAAATCTATTGCTTTATAAGGCTATTTCCAAGTGAAATATCGATGTAAGACAGTTGCTAGTATGCTCAGTTACGTTCGAGGGAGTATAATTAGATTGGATAAAGCTGTAAACCACTTCACTTCTACCATTTAAACCGCATCACTAATACCATCAGACACAATTCATTAGTAAGCTTACAGCAAACATACCTACAGGACAGTGTCATGTATTAAGCATTAATATGAAACCAGGGATGGGCAAAATGGCCTCATTTTCTTCCTAAAATGATGAATGCTAGAAACTATTTCGTAAAACTGCACATCCAGTCATGGATTCACTTAGTCAATGTTCCCTTGTCTGGGTGTGTGCAACCAGACAGTTTTATCACTTCTGGCACAAGAAGTGTGACCATCTGACATGTACAGGAACTAATATGCTGTCACTGAGCTACATTACCAGCTTTGCTGTTTATATTTTGTTACTGATATTATCCTATCATTGGCTAGACCGAATTGACCGGTCTCTATTGACCTATAGGCTCTTACGCGGATGCCTCGATACTGCCTGTGTTTTAGTCATATTTTATGAGAGATAGTGGCTAGTAGTTGAATACAGGACGCGCGTTTCGTCCTACTCGAGACTCTTCAACTAGGTGTACCTGCCCCCAGTGGGTGATGTCCTCTGGTTTTAGTGGAAAAACATAGGTCACTGAGGGGCAGTTACACCATGCTGACGAGTCCCAAGAAGGACGAAGCGCGAGTCCTGGATTCCATTGCTAACCACTATCCAACATTAATGTATATTTATTGTTCATCGTTAATCGATAATTGTGGCGAAGATGCTGCAGTGTATTGTGAGGAAAATTTACAAGATGGTGGCGAAATTTAAGTAGGCATTCCGAACTATGTACTGTATTTATAACGCACATTCTTCTCAAGAGGAATGTCGTTAAAATGTATTCTTACAATAATATGCGTCAGCCCAAATTATTGGAGCAGCCTACCCGATTTGCATGTGAATCAATCAGCTGTAAAATAATTATTTTCATATAAATTTAAATGCTTCATAGGCATGCTAGCTGACAAGCGCTTTCAATTTTATCCAACATCATAGTGTTTTCTGAACATGAATAGGGTAGTAGCGAATCTCTCCGACCGTAATTTATCTGAATATGAATTATCTATCCTTCCGTCTTGTTATAACGGAAGAGGACAAAGAAGAAGAGTTAAAGTTAGTTTGCCGCACACTGGAAGCAAACAATTATCCTAAAGGTTTCGTTAGACGTGTTTTAAAAAATGAAATTAAGGATGTACCGAAACTCCCTCCGAAGAATTGGACAAGCATGGTCATAATTGCATACCGAAAGCAGACTTCAAAAGAAATAAGAAAGATTCTCAACAAATACGACATAAGAGTTTACTTTCGTGCACCAAATACCTTACGTTCTAACTTAATGAAAGTTAAAGATGTAGTACCTAAAGAAAATCAGCAGGACTACGTCTATGAAATCAAATACGTAGACGGTACTGCAGTATATATAAGGGAAACAGCCAAGCAAGCAGGTAAATGTGCGAGTCAATGAGTATAAACTATGCTTAAAGCAGATCCCAAAAACCTCAGCAGAAGTTAAGAAACTAGAAAAAAAAATCCGCGATGGCGCTACACTCCATAGAAATGGGACACAAAATTGACTTTGATGGAACTAAGGTTCAACAAAAAGGTTTTGGGTCATACCGAAGCCCTACATATATGGGCGAACCCAGCCAGTTTGAACAGACGAGATGGAGTACAGCTAGTTGCCTCTTGGCAATTGGTAGTCAGTGAGCAGAAAGAGTAACTCAAATCATTTACCGTCAACACTAGTCTCAAACTCCATTATTTCTGCATAACTCAACCTGGACTGTTTTGATGCATTATTATTATCATCACCATCATCATTACCACTCATTTTCACTCTGTTCCGGTAAATCAATGCGAAGAAAATTCGCTAACACTATCCACCACATTGTTCCAACTGAAATTGTATACACATTCACCTCATCCTGTGCAATTTGTACTTATAAAATTACCGAATGACTGTCACCAGTGTCCTTTTTGTCTGATATTTACAATCAAGACGAATATGAGTTGGAGTACATAAAAACACACACATGCCATACAACAAAAGACATACAATTTCACGCTGAATGATTAGTTATCATAATTTAGAAAAAAACAAAAAAAAACAGTGACTATACGAAGAGGATTGGATAGGGAGATTAAATGCACATTTTTGAATTCATTTATACATATATGCACACATATATCCTTGATATTTTAGTTTTGATTATTTCCCTGAAGAAGCTCGGACCAGACTTCCTTGCGAAACGGAATTTCAAACAGCTGTGACTTATACAATCTGTCTAATAGTGTTTTCATTGGATAATTTATGGATATAAAAGCTGTTTATGATAGGTAACCAATCGGAGACATATATGTCTGGCCATCTACAGTAATTGATCAACGTAGTAAGGTCATATGGACTCTGACCATAAAAAATATTTCGTCAGGTATTTTTCTGGATGGGGCCACTGTCGGAGGAGACAGATTTCGCAACCCTAATGATCGTAGCAATTAGCACGCCTATTTTGAAAAACATATTGGATCATTTTTCTCTTTGCTTGCTGAAAGAAATAGTGAAAATCGCATGTCAGACTCCTAACCTTACAAATATTTACACGTTGATTGGTTTAAATTTAACTGGACTAAGATTGAATCAAAAGTCGATAGTGGTAAAAGCCAATGATAATCCTGTTACAAGGTCGCTTCAATCTGTTCTTATCATTGGCCAAAAATATATTTAGAATATGTAAAGTGAATTTATTCATCAGGTTTCAGTCTTTTTCTTTGTCCACGCTAACGGCTTTATCGATGCCGCTAGGTGGAGGCCTCGAGGAGGCTTTTTCTGTATTCGGTGACCTCAGACATGGACCACGTGCTGAATATTATTTTAAATGGTCCCTACTTAGTTTTATCATCTGTCTATCAATTCACCATATTATCAGCCCTTGGATATTTAATCGGTATAATGGATCATATCGCAATTTGTCTCGAGCCCAGAAAATGGAATGGGATTCTCGGTAAGTCAGTAAAATGAACATAACTTCAAATCGTTATTAAAAATTGGTTATTTGATGTGTAGGTCCTTTTATAAAAGCTTTCATTTACTGACCTTGCAGTCTACCTAGAAACCAGCTAATATATATCAAATGGTGTTTGTTCCATCCGCGGAGTTATGTAGCCAATACTTTAAGCAGAGGAGTGGTTTTACAGCTTGTTTTTAAGATGTCAAAGGTCAACAACCAGTCTTAATCTTAAAAACGACGGTCCGAGATGCTCAGTGAAATATTTTCTTATAACCAGGTGCAATACATCAACTTTCAACGCTACTAGATTTCTCTCCTGGGCGATTGACCTCACTGGAATATTGGCCTCGGTCTGATTCTCTCTTTTTTTCCGGTGGATTTCTTGAGGTAAAGGCTACATTTGTGCGTCACTATAACCTGTGATATACAGTTTCTGGTTTTCTCAAACATGTGACATGGATATATTATCGTATGCATTCACACTCAGACTGATTGTGTTGTTTGCCGGTGGAGACACTTTCGACAATATCTGGATTTCTCATAAATTTCACTTCAGAAAACTATCTATTTTCGAAGCCGACTGCATGAACTTGTTGGTGAAATTAAGGAATAGCGACCACGGCCAACGAACGCAGAAACGACCTTGACAACCAATAATATACCACAAGCGATTTTACGAGTAGGAAAAAAAGCATAACAATGTAGAAAACAACTAAACAGTGCACACTTTGTACAAACTTGTCCTAGTTTTACTTTGGTGTCCATAGAAAGGTAAGACCAACGTCTGTGGTTGGATTCACTCATATTAATGTAGATTATTTCACGCTAGGAGTGTACAGTTGAAGAAAGTGCTGTGGAACAAATCTGCACAGTACTGTGAAAGTTTCAGGAGGTGTATTTCACTCAACATCGAGAACCTATTGGTCATCCTGTCTACGGAATAGTTATTCACGATTATCTGTGGCCTCTTCAGTTGTGGTCGCTATTCCTCAACTTCGCCAGCTTGTTTATAGTTTCTTGGTTCTCTTTCTGAGTAAAAATTTCCAATCCTCATTGGTCTTGATTCAAGCTGAGTACTATTTACTATATAAAATCAACTGTGCTGGGAACATCTTGGCACTTTTGTTGCCCTGATACAATGTGTAACTATTAACTCCTCATGAACTACCTCACAGTTGTACACTTGCTGAATTTGAGCTTCGGTAATCCACATGTCTTGTTCTGTTTCATAATTTGACTTACCTTGCTTACCAGTTCTGATCTGTTGCCCAGTCTCTAGCCTTCGATTCCAGTTGTCATGTTAACCAGAACCTGTAGGAAAAGCAAACAACAAGTTCAAGTCACTACACTTTACAGCAACAGATTAAAGGTAAGTGGATAGAAAAAGAATGATACTGAAGTAGAAAGTGTTAAAGAAGAGTTATCGTCATCAAAAACAACATAGGACCAGGCATTACTGCGTAACGATCCAAGTTGTAACATCTCATATCAGCACATCAAGTAACAAGGCAATAAAATGGAAGATGAAGAAGGAAAGAGAAATCGGTCAACAGAAGTAGAAAGTAGTAAAAAAAGGAATGAGGGGATAATGAGACAGACTATCGTTTAGTGTAAGGATAATATGTGTATACCTCTGCCCCACTGACATCGGTTCTGAGTGATATCACCTAGAGTCTCCAACCATCTGCAACGCCCTACATGGCTCAAAGCAACAAACAACGAATTCATGCATTGTTGCCATGTTTTAGTCTCAGACAATGTCTTTCGTTATGTCTGAAGTTTGTGCTAGCTATAAATTAAAGGTTACCTGAGTACACTTGTAGTAGGCTACCACCGTTATCTGTTTGTTCAGCCAGGATTGCGAAAGTGCGACCTAAGTACATTTCTGCCTGACTCAGCCTACCCACTTGTGCATTGAAATCATCTGCAACAGTAACCACGTCTTAACTTTCGGCTTTCAGGAAGAGGCTAGACAATTTTCGACACAACTCATCCTTCACTTCATCTGGACCACAGTCATTGGGTGCGTAAGAAGCGATTAAAAAGAGAGAACGACGAGTTTCGTTACTCCTTTCAGTTCTCACTGTGCCGTTCAGCCGGACAGCTCAGAGGCGACTGTGGACTGGGATTTAGTCTAGGAGTGAGCTTTCTGTCCTTCTGCCTAGGGCTATGCTTAAACCTAGAAAAAACCGCGAGAACTAGCCAACAAATCGCCAGAAAGCCGGAGGGTGAATTTTGTGGATTCACCATATTGACCAGGAGAGGTTAATTGAATAACTGCATTTGGATCCTGTATGCATGTCTCACAAACACCACACGCATCAGTGACCCGGCTAAGTCTTTTTGAAGCACATGAAAAAAAGGGTTATCGCGTGACTGCAGGGCTCAGGGGATATCCGCTTGAGGCCGGTCACCTACCACCTTTTTGATGCCACAACAGTTGTCCTGTATTATGAAATATGTAGTGTGACATACGTCCTGTGGTTTTGGATCACCGCTAACCACTGATGCTTGATCAAAGCCACCGAACTGCATCATCTCTTTGTTTAAGAATATGTTAAGGGTAAATACTTCTTGTCTAAACACTATCCAACATACCTTTCTGGTATGATAAGACTTCGAGATAACAAGGGTTTCACCAGCATAGCTCTTTGGGTCATCATGATATACAATCCCGGCCACCATGTCAAGTTAGTGAAAGCGTTCATAGCTTTGAAGATAAAAAAGTATCTGCGTCAACTTCCGTGCGATCGATTGTAGACCAACCACCGACTTCGGTTGTCACTCCGACCTCTACATGATCTCTACATGGCCCAGATCAGCAGTCAAAGATCTCATGGACTGATGCAGTGTCTTATTTTAGCCACTTTTGACTTCTTTCCGGCTTGAACCCACTTCAGCCAGCGTTGTCTGATGGGGTACATGAAGGCTAGGCAGGCATAACCAATGTTTCAGCCACCTGAGTCAGTGAAGGTTTACAATATCATCAACTACTTTTCTTCTGATGTCTGTCTCTAACGACCATGTTTCACAGTCTTATAATGGGGAAAAAAGAACTTTTACGCGATGCTATCGACCATGATGGATCGTGGCTATCAGTGGAATCCAGGATGCGCATTTCGTCCTATTTGGGACTCGTCAGCTGGATGTACCTGCTTCCCAGTGAGTGTTGTTCCCACCGGGATTCAGACTCTGGAGCTTTCACCGGTGGGAACAACATCACGCACTGGGAAGCAGGTATATCCAGCTGACGAGTCCCAAATAGGACGAAATGCGCATCCTGAATTCCACTGATAGCCACGATCCATCAATAATATAATTACAACGCAGGCAGTATCGAGGCATCCGCACAGGAGCCCATATGCCAATAGAGACTGATCAATTCGGTCCAATCAACGACGGTATCATGTAAAAACAATTATATTCCTCTTTAAAGTTTACTTTTTCAATTTATTTTTACGTTGTATCATGATGATGAATTCCAATAAACTAATCTGTCTTTACATTTTGTTTTCAGAGCAGTATCATCTATACATGCAACTATTGTTAGTGTTCTATGTGTAACAGCTCTAGTTACTAATCCTGATCTCTGGAATAATCCAATTGTGTAAGTAGTTTTCATTTATAGACATGATTGTATACTTATTCCAGTTCAGAAATACACCTAGCACCTAATATCTGTTATTTTATCAAGATTAAATAAATGTCCATATAATTGTTGTCTATAATAGTTGTCTTCTTCGATCTTTTCAGAAAAGCTTCTATTTCCATTCACAATACTATCCCGTGTTATACAATCTATTCCCTTCCTGCTCTTCATCTTTCACCTTCATGAAATTTTAGATGACTTGTATTCATTAACACACACATGGTTCCCCAACTGATGTCACTCCATGATGAATACTACTTCTAAATTAAAAATCCTCATTCATCTCGAAAATACATTACTGTATAGTGCTCATTAGTGACTTGCTTCCAGATGGATATCACGAAGCTCTAATGAAAAGCCATGACCTGTGGGGTCAACCAGTCGGAAGTGAAGTGGATGCTAACTGAAAACCTTGGGTGACAGTCGCGCTATGTCGTCAACTGACAGAAGTTGGAAATTGTGAACCACTGGAAACCAACCCAGTGGCTGGATGGTTAACGCGTTCGCCGTGAAACCTGAAGGTTCTAGGTTCGATCCCTGGTGGGTGGGGTCGTGGGTGCGTACGGCTGAGGAGTCCCATACTAGGACGAAGCAGCTGTCCAGTGCTCCCTGGTTTTCAATGGTTCCCCAACTGAAGTCAGTCCATGATGAATACTACTTCTACACAGATGTTCTGTTTCTACCGTGAGTAAATGCTAACACTAAACCTTGCCAGCTCAACATATCCACTAGGTTTTGAGGGGTTAACTCATGATTTTTGCGCCAATATCGTAACATGACTGCAGTCCCTATTTGTGCATAAATTCATTTCTTATTCAGTAGGCTATCGAAAAATCATCCACAACAGTTGATTATCTGAAACCAAAGGTTTGTTAAAGCTAATGGATCTCGTTAATTTTTGGTGCTATCCAGATGTGATTATTGATCGAGGTAATTGTTTGCTAACTAAGTTTCTTGAAATGATCACGAACAATGAAGAGTATTAGAAACGTTGACACAGGATACAGGTCGATTCTGTAGAACCGATCTAAACCGTTAGCTTTAGGATAGGGAGAGGAGTACAATTTCAGATGCAGCTTGTTTATCGTATATTTTTCTCTCAAATGAACCATTTACTAACAAAGCGTCGTGCCTGATACGAAAATTTTTACACACAATTTTAGTTTTTTGTCCGTAATATGCCTTACTTTGATAGGACTACTAATCAGGTCGTTTGGATACTTTATGTACAATTCCACTAAGCATCAGTAACGCAGAAGTGAGGCGTAGAACTGTGAGTAGAATAAAAAATGTCAATTGATTAGGTTGTAAACATTCATCGAATCAGATGGCTAGGACATGTGTTATGCATGACTAGTCATCATCTTCCTCATCGTACGATGTTGACTGAATTCGGTTCAGACTGGAAAAAAGTTAGAAGTAACCAGACTGCGGCATGGCATCAGTCCATGAAGTCTGCGACTGTTGATTCGGACTATGTAGGTGAATTTAGACTTCGTGGTTGAGGTTCGCGTGACAATCAAGATCGGTGGTTAATAACTGTAGGTGATATGGTCTATATCGATGATATTGGTGCAACTGTATCCCCATACCATCCTCCTAATTGTTATGATTGTTTGATTCCGTTTTACTCCCGTCACAACTTCTGACTACGTTTTTCCTCATTTCTCTATCTTTCATTTTGGTACCATCCACCTTGATACACTGATATAAGGTCTAGTAACTTGGACGGTTACACAGTAATACAAGGCCTTATGTTGATATTGACCGACTGATTAAATTACAGTTAGTTAAAGAGAGTCATTTAGGTCGCGGTAAGTTTTCACTCCTGTCGTGTCTAGTGTTTCAATCTTGTGAGTTGTATAGTTCCTAACCATGAAATCACTATGCATCCATAATGCGAGCCTAACACAACTTTGATTCATAGTACAGCATAACATTAAGTTTTTTATATAATTGCCTCATGTTTTACGTCATATGAGAGCGTATTCAGACCATAGAATTTGAATTTGTATACCAGCTATTCTTATTTGATATTACGAATGGATATTGGCCATCAATGAAATCCAATTTCTAATTATCAAGTTATTCTCATTCATTAAAGGCACTTATTTCAGTATTCATTTAGCATCATTTGTTCCATCATTTATCCTTGAACGAAATTTCTGCACGAAATACAAAAGGCTCGGTTGACTTTTGCCAACTTACACCACCTATGACGCCGCCGTGATATCCCATTGTCTATTAAGAGTCGCGTGTACTGCACAGCAGTCCGCTCTGTTCTACTGTATGACTGTGAAACATGGCCATTGAAGGTGGGAGATATGAGAGTGCTCCAGGTGTTTGACCAACGTTGCCTTCCTAGTATAAGCCGTATTCCATGGTGTCACCACGTGAGTAATGCAGAAGTCAGGTGTAGAGTTTTAAGGAGAATAGGTAAGTCAGTTGACGAGGTTATGAACCTTCATCGACTGAGATGGCTGGTTGGGACACGTATTACGTATGCCTAGTCATCGATTGCCGGGTCACACAATGTTGGCCGAAGTAGGTTCAGGCTGGAAAAAGGCCCGAGGTGGCCAGACTTAAACATGGCATCAATGCATGAAGTCTTTGACTGTTGGTTTGAACCATGAGGGGCGATGCAGACTGGGTGGTTGGGGTCTGCGGGACAAGAGAAGTCAGTGGTTGGAGACTGACTGTAGGTGATCATATGGCTGAGAACCGATGTCAGTGGCGCAGATGTTTACATACATTATCCTCGTCTTAACGACGCTATACAGAATCTCACCACTTTCTCATTTTTCCTTTCTCTCTTTTCGTACTTTATCTTTATTTTAACTGAATTTTCCTATCTTCATCTTGCAGTTCACTTCCTTTTTACTTGATGTACTGATATAATGTGTGGCAACTCGGACTGTTATGGAATAATACCTGGTCCTATGTTGGTATTGATGATCTAGAAGTTATTGTATTATGCATAAGAGACGAATAGGTGAGATTAGTATTACTTTATCCATAAAATTTAACTGAGGATATCATATATATTCTAAAGTAATTCATTGATACTACTTTGAATATAACTACCAGTAGAGAATTTCCCATTATACAATGCCATCATCAGTCATAATAGAAGTTATTTTAAAAATATTTTGTCTTTCATATGTCATCTGTCATTATTACTAATTTCATCATGTGTAAACTGTATTTATTATTTTTATTTCATTCTCGTTGTTGTTGTTTTTGTCATAAAGGTGTGTATCTCATTCCGGTCTTATTGCACTATCTATTTCCATTGGTTACTTTCTTTGTGGTAAGTTTAAATCACTTAATATAAAGTATAAAATTTTAATAGACGTTTCAGTCATTGTCATTTCTGTTTCATAATGCCTTGTATGTGATACAACAAGCGAGAGTTAATTACCATAACTGTATAAAATGAATACAGATTTGAAGTATCCTGTTTACGTCTATATGTGAATTCCAGTTGTGGTGTTTAACAACTTCGAGTAAAACAGTAAGAAGATAAGTTTCAGCAAAGTATCATTTCTCGCTGAAAATGCATCTAAGTTACTTATGTATACCCCGCTCGCCTAGATGATGAAAATATCAAGTATGTATTTACGGAGATAGGAATAGCCAGGCGTTTATCTGAACGTGATAGCAATGCTCATCATGAGGAAACTTGCCGTAATATTCAGTGTACCGTATGCTGTATGGGTTTCCACAACTTCATCTTAGGTGATTAACTTTAGAGGATGCATTCCAGCTGCAACTGACTGCGATAAAGAATAAAGGCAGCTCGAAAGTAGATTGACTGAGAAGTTTCGTAATAATAGCGAGCGTGAGGTGGATTAGGCATTATCATTAGTTAATATCCAGCAATTATTTTGGCTTATTAAGGAAACTAACAAGAAGAAGACGGTTAGTGAAACCGTCACCGAAAAAGATGAAAGGCTGATAACCTTTCAGGACATATGGTTAGAACGTTAGTTGGACAAAGGCAATCGGCCTTGCTGATTAGTGCCAAAAAGCATGAAACCTGGACCTGTTGATCGGTCGCTGGAGAGTGATCAACTTCATGTTGTCTAGTCCTAAGTGCTGATCGAGTTCTATCGATCATTGCACAGAAAACTGAAGCACAGTTCAAATGATCTACAGCAACGATCGAGTTGCGCAGCATCTAATCTAAGCGTAAATGGGAAGTAAATGTCTGTCCTCCAACTGTTCTTGAGGCTGAGAAGACTGTTTTAAATCTGAAACGATCTGATACAGCCGGACTTGATGGACTACCATTCAAAGATTTTAGGGATGGAGGTGGAAAATCACCGATTAGAGTAATAGAAGTTCTAGTTAGTGGATAGGAATCAAAGGTAGTCCCATCAGACTCATCTACTTCACTGATGATTATAGTATATAAGGAAGGAGAGAAGTCTTCCTGTGACAACCATGGGGTAGTCATTTTGATTAATATCGTGTCAAAAACCCAGATAGGTCCCAAATCTGGACAAGGGTGCATGGATCTGATTTTCATCCTTCGATGGGTTTTGAAACCCAAGCATACTTCCCGGCAAATGATACTTTCCATATTTCTCGACCAGAAGGCGGGATCTCACTCAGTCGACGGTGAGATGATTTGGCAATGTTGGATCGTGAAAGGAGTCCTGACCAATTATATAGCTTCCATCATGAATGCCTACTGTTATTGTTCCTATTTAGTTTTGTTATAGATGAACTAATGAACCTAAAATTAATTACGCCTGACTTCACATGGCTTAACCTGAGGGTCATCTGGTTGACTTGGAGTATACAGATGATATTGTCCTGCTGTGTAAAGACCCTGACAAAATCCAGAATCTTCTGAACGTGTTGAATATAAATCTGTATTTGTTCAGCATGCATGTAGCACCTGTCAAACCTAAGATGACGCTACAGGACTGGTCTGCAGCCACTCCTAGTTTAATGATACGATGTGCAGTTAAAATACATAGAGCACTTCACCTACTTAGAGAGTTGTATCAACCTGAACGGACTGGTTGCTGACGAAATGTCATCTGGGATATAAAAGACCCGTTTAGTGTTTGCCAACTTGTGTCATCTCTGGTGCCAATTGGCGAGATATCTGACTACCTATTAAACGATGAGTATACTGCGCTGGCGTTCATTCTCTCTTGTTATATGAATGTGAAACAGCCGTTGAAAGGAGAAAATGTGAAGCGGTAACAAGTTTTAGATCACAGGCATCTTCGCAGCAGTGGTCGCGTTTGGTGGAACTATCTAGGTTATGTGATGTGTACTAGGCGAGTCGATTGATGAGGTGACTGGATTATATATTGGGCATGCCGAGTCACGATTTAACTCGAAGTGCAATCTTAGGAAAAGTTAGATTGGGTTGGGAGAAGGCTTAGAGTGGCCAGACTAAGACATGGCACCAGTGCATGACGTCACTGACTGTTGCTCTCAGTCTTTTTTGACCATGCTGACTGTCCGGCTAGGTTACTCAAGACGATAGGATTCACTGATGAGAGACTTTCAGTGAAATGGTCACAATTTAACAGATGTATTCTTTTTTCGACGTCTTCAGTATAAAGATTACCACTGATTTTGATTTTCAAAGTTTTTTTCTCTCGCTATCACTCATTTTCAACCTGTTTGCTGTTTACACACTCCTGTGAAACGTGGCAACTTGAAGCGATGCCTTTGTGCGCGAGGTTGTATATTGATTTAGTCTGTCTCTCTCTATCACACACACATACCGTTTCATGATCTGTTCCAACTCATTTGAACTACTTTGTCCTGTGTAGGCGGATATCATTGATTAACACGCATACTTCATCTGACTGCTAATAATGCTGGATAGTCATTGATAAATTTTTTTATAAAAATACTTGGATATTTGTTAAGTTTCCATATGCCTTTTTTCAATTTTCATAAACTATCTTTTCTGATTTATAGATGCTGTTTCTATGCCATTCTATTGGTGGAACAAACAACTGATCATATTTCTTTTACATCACTGGGCTGCATCTTTTGCATTTTTCCTCCTTGTGGTATGTCAATAATATTGATATTAATTAAACCGATATTGTTGTTGTTGTTATCTATTGTGAATTTTATCTTGTATAACCATAATTGATTATTTAGATGATTTTCCTAGCCCTTTTTTTCTTCAGGACGATTATCTACAAAAATTGACAAATAGAATTAAACTTGTAATGGATAAATTTACACTTCAAATCCCATGACTTCAAATGTTATCAACTCCATTTACTAGTTATCTATTGATAAATATTAAGAAATTATAGTGTGACTAATACTTACGCTTCTTTCAACCCTTTTTGGATACTGATAGCTATTTACGGGATATATGATGCATACTTGAAACACAATGATCACGCTAACAATCAGATGTAAAGTAAAAAGAAGTTAAGATTGACAAGAATATATAGTAATGCTAAACAATGTAGTCCCCTTAACTTTTTCTCTAAGTTGTATAGGGAAGAAAAGATGGTGTGGTTATTGTCATCAAGATTTTAAGAACCAAATAGTTGAACATTTTCAGTGATTTAGCTAAAATTGACAACAATAACAATGTTCTTTCTTATTCAACTTCAAGATTTACAACATTCTATCAATCTTTATTAATTTCGTCAAAACAATAAGATGTCAACAAGTTAATCACCATTGTACTTGTATTAGACACCGGATATTTTTATATCATTGGCAATCATAATTTTGGATAGTTATTCCTCCTGGATTTCGATATCAGTTGGAGAAAAATAAGAAACCTGGAAGAACTGGACAGCTGGTTCGTCCTAGCATGGGACTCCTCAGCAGTGCGCACCCGTGAGCCCTCCACCCCAAGCCAGAGATTGAACCCAGAAGCTTCATGTTCCGTGGTCAGCACGTTGCCATTTAGCCACTGGGTTGAAATCCTATATATGTATATATATAAGTCATCGACAGAAATCAACAAACGCATCATCCTACCGTATGTAAAGAATATATTAGAAACCATGACAAGATTACTGAGATCATTTGGAATTGGTATGGCTCACAAACCAACAAATTCCCCCAAACACTATTATGCAGACCAAAGGATGCAACGACCAAAGAAGGCAAACCGAATATGATTTACAAAATCAACTGCAATAACTATAGTCAACACTACATTGGACGAAGTGGTCGCCCTCTTCACCTTCGTCATTTAAATGAACACCAATTGGTAATTAAATGTCACGACATTTCATCACTCATTTCAATACACATGGATAACAACTATGGAGATGAATTTGATTTCGACAATGTAGAAATTTTGGACGGAGAGAGGAAACAACACAAAGAATATCAGAGAACTCCTAGAAGTTTAGCATTCAGGTCAGTTAGCCAGTCAGCAACTAATAGATGTATAGACATGGACTCAATGTACCAACCTATGAGAAGAATGATAAGCGACAGAAAGATGAGAGGTGAAGCAGAGTAACAGCCAACAGGAAAGACTATGCAGTCAATGATACAACAATTAAAGGAAATAAGCAATCAGAGACCACTTTGTCAGGGGAAGCTACTAAATCACTCAGGGAGAGATATTGACAGTTCACTTTATACTGAAGTTGGTGCTGATGATGTCGTCTAGAAAGACGATGAAAGCTTTACGGTTGAATATCCCAGTTCAGAGAACACAATACAACCAAATTATAGCGCAACCTCCATCCAATGCTGTCTTTGAGTAAGTGTCCTCTTGTTCGACTTGGTTGGCCGCACCAGTTGCGACTTCTCATTGGAACTTCAGGAATCACCTCTTAGAATCAATAAATCCCCCAAAAGCTGAAAATTGAATTATAATTGTAATTAGTGAGAAAGTAGAAAAACTTCATATGAAAAGACTGAGCTGAAGGTCAAAACAACAATAAAATAAAAAAAGAGGTGATAGATTGACCTTGTTTTCAAAGTTGAACTTACTGATGTGATAACAAATAGGTTGCAAACATATAAAGGTAACTTAAACTTTCTTTAACTAAGGTTTTGATAAATTTAAGGACACTTAAGTGAGTTTCAAAGATGTACGAAGATTTATTTTATGGTCTCAATAGTTTGCTTTGCAATCTGAAGTGCTTGGATGTTTGCTACAGGTGTTGATAGTTTCAGATAATTCACTCCGTTTTTGAACCCCTATGAAATGTTTTCCAATGTCTTTACTTGGAAGGGTCGATAAGTCTCCTCTGTGTATAAGTGACCACTCACTAATTGAATGAAATTGATAAGTGCAATAGGATATGACATTACTATTTATATATTCTAAGTTTTCAGAAGAATTTGTCATGTGGTTGTTTCCAATTATCCTGATCTCAGTTGCATAGAATGTTTATCTTATGACAATTAAATTTGTGTCTAAATATCAAACCATGATAGTCACTCCTGCACAGAAGCTTGGTAAATACTTTCTCTGGGAAAGAGTCCAGTTTATGTTTGGGTTCGCTAACGTCTCTCCTCAATACGAGTGAGGCTTCGGTGCTTATTCAACTAGATCCAAAGGGTATGCATAGAAGACTCTTTGGAAGAAGAGATAAGCTTGGTAGCCGAAACTCTGGTTGCGAATACTTATCCGACATCAAACCAATGTTGGATGCAGACAAGTTATATTGAAATAAAGCATCGTTGGAGAGGACAGGTAAAGGAGTGTTGCTCCTTGTTGAGTACCCCTTTGACTTCTATCATGTGTTTGTGCCTCAGTTGATGGTATAAAATAGACAAATGAGAGAACTTTGTCTCTATTCAGTTGGAAAACGGAAATCTCAAATATGTATTTAAGAAGGAGGTAATAAGGATTTTATGTAAGCATGGTGACAATCCCCGTTCCGATGAAGGGTAGCATAACTTTCAGTCTATTGTATAAACAGTGTTAAAGGCAGTAACGTACAACCGTAGATCATTAAAAACCGGCGTATCCCTTCAACCTCATCACAACTGATTGATGTGATGAGACAATTTCTACTTAGTTCCGGTTACAATGAAAAGCGAAAGCATTCAAAATATATAAGCTTAGAGTTTCGTAGTGACCACAACCAGTGCTGTGTGAAGCAAGTGTAAAATATGGAGAAGTTACCGGTGCTAGGCGATTAATCAGCGTTTCTAAAGAAACTACTCCAACTTAAATGGGATGTATAAGTCGGCTCTTTCACTAAGCTGAGTAGACTGTTTCACATTTGAAACGCTGCAAGACGGTAAGACTCGGTGATTTTCGCCTAAAAGTCTAAATGATTGGCATTGAAAAACGTTTGATGACAATATCTTTAGTACTATCTAGTGTATGGGCTTCAGAAGTAGTCACGTCAGACTCGTCTAGATCGCTAAAGGGGAATCAAATTTTAGACCTAAACCTGGGTTCGATTATTTTTGAAGCATAGGTATGATCACCGTTGTATGACCCTCATCATCATCATCATCATATGTCCTTTAGGTTCCTAGTGAAACATAGGGATTCAGTAGCACTTCACCATTTCACTCTCTTCTCTATAATCTTTTGAACCTGAATCCACGACTACCCATAAGCCTTCATTTCTTCTTCACATGACCTCTTCTATGTCATCCTAACACCCCCAACTCGTCGTTTCCACTTTAGGTTCCACTCGACTCCCTGGCCTAGTCTGGTGCGTGATTTCCCCGAATGGTCTTCTCAGTGAACGTGGAATCCACTTTCTTTTACATATTTATTGGGTGATAGGTTTTTGGTTGGTTCGTTCCCAGCCACAGTTCCTTGTTGCTTATTCTTTCTGACCCTAACTGTACTAATTGACTTGAAGTTGATATTTGGCTCCATATGTTAAGAAATATTTTGATAATATATAACTGAGACTATGAATTGAGTCCGTAGGAAATTTATTAAACTAATCAAGACTCTATTCTCCAACTCATGCAACTGTGTAAAAATATACAAAGAGTTGTCAACTGACGTAATGACACCCAGCAATGTCCACTCCCATTGTTCCTTTTTTAAAATTTTGTTAAAGTTACACTGATGAATATCATCGTGCTAACATTTCACTTCAAAAAATTTCATCAGCTTTCCGATGAGTACCTGATATACTTGGTATACACACCCAACGTAATCCTAGTCTTTTAAGAAACTGATGAAATTCAGTATCTTTTGAGTGTTTTGGGTAAAAATCTAAAAATCCTAGGCGTGCATTTTACGCCTGTCAAATGTTAGGAGTTACTTATAGTTTTGAGATGAAATGATCAGGTGATATGACTATCTTTCATAAAGTGAGTGTAGAAATTAATTTAGTGCACAAATCTACACACAATTACTATCTTCAATTATTTTCCGTTATTGTTACTGAATGATTGGGATACTGCACTAAAGTTCCTGGATTGGGTAAGATAGATGTGAGTAGGTTGAAGCTTTTCGATCATAGATATCATCTTAGCATACCCCCTTGTGTAGTGAAACCACTACCATGTGAAAAATGTTGAGTTTAAAAGTAAAATATAAAACAAGGAAGGTGATTGCAGTTGATGAGATTATAAACATGCTATAAACGAAGTGGATTTTCGCTTACATTGAACCATCGTCTACACATTGCTATCAATTGAAGGATCAGGCTAGAAAAAAAGTTGAAGATAGTCATACTCTATCATATCGTCAATTTATAAAATCTTTACTGTTAGTTTGGGCTATACAAAGAGGTGTAGACCTCCTGACTAGAGTTCTTGAAGTGATAAGAATCAATTGTTGGTGATGTGAATATGTTCACTCTGTATTACTTTCAAAGAAATTTTCTCCATTCCAACTCGTATTGAATTCTAAATTCTTATTTTTTATATTCCTACCTTTGTTGAAACACCTGGCAATTTTAACTACTTTACTATTTCAAGTTAATATTCATCGTAGACTAACGTCAGTTGGAGGAACAAAGAAAACCTGGAAGCACTGGACAGTTGGTTCGTACTAGTATGGGACTCCTTAGCAGTGTGCACCCATGACCCCGTCAGGGATTGTAAAGGATTGTATTTCATTCTGTCTCTCTATTGGTTTATTTTCAAAAGTTATCAATTACCTGATCATTCCTAGACATATTGATGTTTGAATATTTATTGTTTAACTAGACTGTTATGAAATTGTATCATTTGTATATATTAGTGAAAAGTATTCACACAAGTTGATTATCTCTATGATTGTTTAAAATGTAATAACAATATAGTTTTGCTTAATTTCAGCAATATCGAAGTTGTGTATTCTTTGGAGTTTATCGTTTAACAACAGAATTATCTACACCGTTTGTCAATCAAAGGTATCTTTTAATTCCGTTACACTTTATCATAGTTGTACTTAATTGACTTATTTTCGTAATTGTTCATTTTCTAATACTTAATAGGCTGTATATTATTTCCTATACGCCTAACGTTATAGATATGTTTGTCACAATTCAAAGTTTTACTTTTGCTACTTTTAATTTCTCGACCTCAGTTGACAGATGGATTTCTATGCAGAAGCTGTGATACTGCCTACTAACTCATTATATTAATGTCTGTTCGGTAGCTAACAGTAGAATCCAGGACACGTGTTTCGTGTAATTTGGAACTCATCAACTGGATATACGTGGATCCTAGTGAGTGATTTTGTTCCCACTGAGACTCGAACTCAGTACTTATCGCTTTACTATCCACTAGGCCTTTGGGACAGGAATACCATAGGTATCAGTTGTTGTTATCCCAAATAAGATGAAATATGTGTCCTAGATTCCACTGTTAGTCGTCAAAAAGATATCAACACAACAAGTAGGCAGTATCGCAGCTTTCGCTATAGGAATCGAGCAATTCGAACCTGTGTAGCAATGGAAAATTACAAGTATCGAAAGCAACAACTGATGCTCCGTTGCATAAGCGGTGACTGACTTGCCCTGATGGCCTAGTGGGTAGCGCTCTGGCGTTTGGAGCGATAGGTACTTTGTTCGAGTCCCAGTAGGAATAACATCACTCAGTGGAATGAGGGTACATCCAGTTGATGAGTTCTAAATAGGACGAAACGCGCATCCTAGATTCCACTGCTAGCCACCAAGTAGATATCAATTAGAAGTGCTCTTCAATGAATTCATTTTCATTGTTATACATTCTGAAAGATATGACAAAAGCGTCAGTATATGTGAAAATTATTTGTAATGACTCATGAGAATTAAACATATTTCTTCCAACTAAAAATTGAAAAAGAAAGACTTCATATTAAAGTTAGTGTTGGTATTGTTTAGCAGGATAATGAGAACTTTATAATTAGATCATTCAGTTTCGAATCACATGTTATTATTATTTGTCCTCTGGGTTTCTAGTGCAACATAGGGCTTCAGTAGCATGTCTCCATTGCAGTTTTTCGAACCTGGCTCCACCACTGCCGATAGGCTTTCATTTCTTCCTCACACCATCTCCTCTATATCACCCTCGGACGGCCAACTCGTCGTTTCCCCTTTGGATTCCATTCGACGGCCTGGCCTTGCCTGGTGCATGATGTTCCCAAATGGTCTTCTCAGTGTATGCTCAATCCAATTCATTTCCACTTTCTTATTCTGCATATTTGTTGGGTGATAAGTTCTTGGTTGGTTTGTTAGCAGGTCAGATTTTCTTGTTGCTTATTCTTATTATTCTGGCCATCCATCTGATCTTCAATGTCAGTATCGAGTGAGCGTAGACGCCAGCTGCTGATGATGCACGTCTATAGTTCGTTGGAAATGCTTTTTGTGACACGTAAAGTTTCTGAACTATATAGAAGCACTGATTTACTTGACTGACATTAATGTTGAAAATCCGGATCTTGTTCTTAATACTGAGTGCAGTAAATCTTTACACTGATTAAATCAGTCAAGATAGTTTATAATTACCTGAGAAGTTGTAAAATTATGTCAGCAAACTGATATACTATTTAAATCTTCAAAGTTCAGTATATCTACAGTGGTAATCAATTTCAGTTTATATCTCATATTCCTTCAATTACCTTAAATATTTCCTCTAATAATCTAATATGAATTATAAAGGTATAATTTTACTTTATTTTATAGATGGTTTTATCGTACAATTGGTTACAAACCTGATCGTCGTCGTGTTGCATGTGTAACTTTAATATTTGCAATATTCTTTATTATAACACGTAATCTAATGATTTTCCCATTCTGGTATATAGCATATATCACTTATGGAAGTGAGACATATAAAATTTGTGTTGAATATTTCCCATTAATGAATACTGTTTTTATTACTACATGTGGATTACTTGATGGATTAAATATTCATTGGGCATTTCGAACATATCGTATTGGTTTAAAATCGATTAAAATATTATCAACTGCTGATTGGCAAGGTGATATTCGTAAAGCTCAAGCAAAATTACATAAACGTTTACGTAATCTCCAAAAATTTAATACTCATGATAATCAAATGAGTATAACTACAAAATCATCTCTAACAGATAATCATTTAAGTCAAACTTCACTGGATAGTGGTAATAGTGGAATATCATCTTTATCAAGCTATTCTTCTGACAGTGAACATGAATCAACATATTCTAGCTTAGAACTTAGTATATCTAATATGAATCAAGAAAATATACAATCATCAGATAATCTGTATCCAAATACTCTATCTCATAATTTAATTGATGGTAATGACACTGAATTAACACAACGATTAAAAAATCAGGATGTTCAACATTCATTAATTCAATAAGCAAATTTTCAAAGACTATTCATTCATTATTTATCAGTTTTTAAAAAAAATCCGAATTCTGCATAATAAAGAAAGTCGTGTGTGTGCGTGTATGTGTGGCTTTCAACCTCTTCTTATCATCGAATAACAAACACAGCGTTAAACTTCAACAGCTGATTATCATGAAGATTAGAGAGTATACTGTACAGTTAATGGTTAATAAATTCTATCATTCGTCATCTTTAGGGTTATTTATTGGTTGTATTACACCGTCGTTGATTGGGCCGAATTGATCAATTTCTATTGGCGGATGCTCATATATTGCCTGTGTTTTTAATTATGTATAGTAATGATAAATTTTACTGCTATCCATTACCCATTATTCGTCATCTTTATTATAAATCATTTTCTTAACTGAAAGAAAGATATGATGTGAATTTTTAAAGCAAAATATAATTGTTTCCTTGTATGAACTTTTATTTTTGATTATATTTTAAAACTATGCTTTTCAGTATTAAAATTAAAAAAATATTGCAACTAATTTGTTTGAAAAGTGATGATTTCTCTATGGGTTTTTTTTCAAAGAGTACCAGATAACTAGTTTTATTGCTTGTATTATACCGTCGTTAATTGGACCGAGTTGATCGGTCTCTATTGGCGGATGCTTCGATGTCACATGTGTTCTAATTATAACAATGATGGATCGTGGCTAGCAGTGTAATCCAGGATACGCATTTTGTCCTATTTGGGACTCGTCAGCTGGACATACCTGCCTCCGAGTAAGTAGTGTTGTTCCCACCTGGACTTGAACTCGAGAGCGATCACTTACAAACGCCAGAGCGTTATCCACTAGACCACTGGGTCATGATAACCACTTCTTGTGCGACGGGTATAGTTCTAGTAGTATTGCTTGTATTAGAAATGTGCATCCTGGATTCCACTGCTAGCCACTAACCGTTATTACTATATATAATTAAAACACAGGCAATTTCTAGGCATCTGAATAGAAGCCCATATGCCAATGGAGACTGATCAATTCATTCCAATCAATGGCGGTATAATACAAGCAATAACACTAAAATTATACCCGTCACACAACAGGCGGCTATCGTGGCTCGGTGGTGTAGTGGATAACACTCTGGCATTTGGAGCGGTCGGTCCTGAGTTCGAATCCCGGTGGGGACAACACCGCTCGTTGGGAGGCAGGTACAACCAGCTGTTGAGTCCCGAATAAAATGAAATGCTCGTCCTGGATTTCACTGCTAGCCACTAACCATCATTATTATCTAAACCTGTGGCTGATTGGGTAATATGAACTCAGGTTGTGCATTTTAGGTGAATAGGATCATCTTTGAACCTGTTCAGCTTCAATATGGTATCACCACGTGAAAACCTTTCCTATTGATGAATTTCAATCATTGTTTAATAATAAAACCATTTGAAAGATATTTATCTATTTGGTAGCAAAGTGTAGACAGATGCAAACAACACTCAACGTGTCAAAAGAAATGCATAGATTTAAGCAGTTCTGTTTCAAGCAAAGAAAAGTAATGGAGACGGATAAAATCAACGCAAGTGGATAGGTGAAGAGTGATATCAAAGTACACAAAAGTATATGAGGAGAGAGGAAATGTGAAAATTAAGGTTAGTCAAGCAACAAAAGACATCAAAGAGTGAAAACATGCCATTTCACTAAGAATAGTTTGATCACTGATTCCTGTCGTTTAGCGGATCCTAGCCAGGTAGTTTACATCTCCCTACAGAGCTCAAACTAACAGTCTGAGACTTAATGCACTGGTGTCACATCTTGGTCTTCAAACCTTGGGCCTCCTTCCAACCGAATTCAACTCCTCTTAGGGTCGCATTTTGAGGTAGGCTAGTTCAGAACCTCATCAGCTGAATTACTTTCCTTGCCTAGTGCCCTTCACCTAGCCTCAACATTATTCACACAGTGATTTCCCCATACGCGGACAAGGCAACAAAGATATTTTTTTCGAAAACCTGTAGTCTCTTCGTACCGTTTACTTTGGACGTCCATTTCTTAAATGTATAACGTACCCCTCCTTTGTTGGGTAGTCGGTTATCTCGCCAGTCGTCACTGCTACAGGTGGCACAAGTTGGCGAATTCTGTATCCTAGATGACATTTCGTCAGTAACTAACCCGTTTGGTCTGATGTAAGTCGTCGATACATTCAACCACTTCACTCCCTACCCTTAAACTTTAGGTTGTTTCAAACCATTTCTGGAGCACCATCTTACAATCGATAGATGTGAAAGACATGCCAAAAACAAACAGGTTTCTGCTCAATGTATTCAGAAGACCCTACATTTTGTCAGTGTCTTCACCTAGCAGAAATGACCACGATCGAGGCGGCTAAAAGTGTTATTTTATCCTTCACGTATATTTAAAACATTAGACAGACATTAGAAAAAGTCAGTTTGAGTTTGGCAGCCTTTAAATTTTTTCAGTATTTCTGTCGATTAAATCGTAAACTTATAATTATTTTCAGGGATCAAAAAAGTTGAATGATTAACTTATCTCTACCTCATAGTTTTTACAATAAAGTGTTCAGGATACTCGTTTTCAGTGAAAGTATTTTTAAGAAGACTTATTTCATCTTAATAAATATTAGGAATATGGATTCTATGACTAAGGGAATGGACCAGATTTCGTTTCATGTCCATATGAATGTAGTTATAAAAGTTCGTAATCTATTCGTCCAGCTCTGGGTATCTTGATTGATTTATTAATTAACTGTACTGACCAGATTGAACTGATTTTGACGATTATGTTAAGTACATCTCTGATCGAGAATGGTCTAGCGGGTTGTGTGATTTGACAATAGGAATGGACGTTGAATGTTTCAACCTTTAGTCTACAGTGTAGTTTCAGTGTACCTATGATTCTCTTTTATGAGGCTAGATCGTTAGCTTTGGTTTCATGGATAAGACATCAAAGAAACTGCTGAAACCTGTTTTTGTTAACGGATAAGGAAAGAATTGAGATGAAGAGGATTGTTAATGTTCAACAGGTGTGGTTGATACTTCTTATCTGCTCACAATTCGGTGTTTTTATGTCATATATACAAAAAGGAATACTTCCGAGTTATTAGTGAGTTCAAGGCATTAGTTTAAAGCCTCTTATGAAATGTTAGATGCTATAGGGTTAGGTCAGTTCCCAGGAGAACCATACAGCCTGTACAATACAGTTGTACACATCTTCTTTACAACTAAACTTTTCTAATTAATTTTTTTTAGAGTTTGGGAATAACCTAACAAAAATACTGACCACGCAAAAAAAGCCCTTTAATGTTATCATATTCTTATCAGTTTTGTAACATGATTTATTCCTCATACTTCTATCATAGTGTAATCTGTCTACACTGTAAGCGGATATATCTGCTGTATTATTGAATGATGAAACGATGAAAAAACAACAACTGATTTTCCCTCAAATGTTTCGAGGCTTTATAACAATATATGCCAAAGAGGATATAGACATCTGGAAAAGGATTTCGCATATGACATATCAGTATGCTTTTATGAATTCAGTTAGTCTTGTACAAACCTTATCACAAAATAATGAAGGAAATCTGTCACTGTAGCTAGTGGGAAATGATATACAGAGTTACACTTTCTATTGTCCAATCATATTCTGGACGATGAATTTACAACAAAGCTTATTCCTTGTATGGTTCCCATTTGATCTCTTCGTACATATTTCTTGCTGAGTTCTTCGATTGGAATTAATTATCTCCCATACATGTTAGTCATCCTATTAATTAACTACTCAAAATCCTGTAAAATACATTACGATTCATTCAGTTGTACAGATAATCACCAATTTTAAAAATTCGTGTTACTACTCTATATCTACATGCATTATTATGAACCAGTGTATTTGTAGTATAGAGCCTGATGAAAATTTGTCGAAAATACATTATTACTTATATTTATTTTATGAAGGAAGCTGCTTTTGTTCCTACTACTATTACTGTAGGAAACGACAAGATTGAGACGAAGAAAGGAATGCTTATCATCGATATATTGTACAGTAGTCATCAAATATTGGACACCTTCCACTAAGACAGTCATTTGCATAATGTGCTTCATTTCCTCTTCTGCTTTCATCTCGATTTGCTCTTAATACGCCTACATTGTCTCTTGGATTTTGCTTTGTAGAATCTTTACCTATTACTGGTGATTACCTATGATTTCTGCCTACGTCTCAATATACACTACTTATATTCATTCTGATCAGCAGTGCCCACTACACTACTACTTTTCAAATGGCTTTTCTAACATGATGGGATAAACTCACAAGGACAAATCGTTCCAGCCGGTGTATCTTGATTGCAATGTCACTGTACATAGGCATGACTACCACATAAAAGTTTCAGCTAGTTGCCTGAACCATTTATTGACTAAAATTCAGCTATTTCACATCTGCATTGTTTTTATACTGTTTATCTGATTGTTATACAAATTCACAACATAGGGTTTGTAATTTACCATTGACTTTACGTAACTAAATTCACCAGCTTCCATTTTCGTATGTCTTCCACATATGGATATCTCAATATTACTATAGGTGGATTCTAGTCTCAATACGAACATTACTATTGACTAAGATGAAGGTATCTATCTGCAACAAATTGGTTACCTGTCGACCTAAACCTACATTCAAGACTCTATTTCTAGGGACTGCAAAGTGTATAGAGAACTCACAATTCACATGATATTATCGTATACTAGAGCCAAAGACTGAATATTTTTTATTCTTCATTTCAACTGTGATAGTGTACACCATCATATTTAGTATTTCAACCCACTTTCTTATCATAAAGAATATAACCATTTTGTGAATAATATTTACATTTGTGGAGATTTATTCGTTGCTTTTAGGTTGGTATTTATCATGAACTGACATCAGATGAAGGAGCACTGGAAACCTGGGAGCACTGGACAGCCACTGTTTCGTCCTAGTATGAGACTCCTTACTAGTGCGTACCCATGACCCCATCCCATCAGCGATCGAACCCAGGACCTTCAGATTCTGTGGTCAACATGTTACCATTGAGTCACTGGGTTGAAATTCAATCGTCCACACTTCTTACTTCGGTCAGTTCACGACATAGCGTGACCTATATCCAATGTCTTCGTTGAGTAAGTGCCCTCATGTCCAACTTGGTTGACTCCACTGTTAAGCGACTTCTCATTGGAACTTCAGGAATCACCTCTGGAACCTAGTCACCAATGAGCGCTAGATTAATTGTCTTGAGGTTTGTGGAAGTTTGATAATTCATGTCAGACCATGATGAAATCCAACCTAAAGTAGTGTAGCGCTGCAATTTGATCTGCACATGATTTATCTTTCCTGAAGCCAGCCACTATAATATGAATTTAAGTATTGTTATGTCAGGCCCTCGAGTGGAATCCCCATGGGAAGCGACGAGTTGGACGTCCGAGGGTGACATGGAGGAGGTCGTGTGAGGAGGAAATGAAAGCTTCTGGGCTGTCGTGGAACCAGGTTCAAAAGATCTCAGAGA